GGTAAAAACTGAAGAACTAAGTATTTAAAAATCAAGAAGACCTCTGAAAGTAGAGGGACCAGATTTATATTGGGGTTAATTTGGAGAGCTCCTGGAGACATAGTGAAATGAAAAATATAACTTGTTGTCAGGTAAAGTAGTCCTAAAAAACAAAGTTTTTTTTTTTTTTTTTAACCAATGCACACCAGTACTTTACTATAGTTTTTACTTAAATGAAACTTTAAAAAGTTGTTTTTGGAAGAGGTAAAAGGTTACAAATTGGAGAGACTAAAGGGTGACTGAAAGAAAGAAGAAAAAAAAGTTTTTAGGGCAGAATCAGCAAGTCAAGAGAAAAGGAACCTGAGGTTGGTGAATGCACAGCCTCTGCCTGTATAGAACTAGTGAAGAACAAGACAGATAATTCTATGATGATAAAGGATGGAGGAAGAAGTGATTTTTTAAATCACGTAGAAATGCTTCAAAGGGCCGTAGAAAATTCTGGATCTCTCTGGCATTTTCATATGGTGATTATTCTCACTTTCGCTGTGTTCTTGTTTAAATCACTTTAAGACAGTCACCCAAACCAAAGATTAGAAAAAATGAGACATACTATAGTAATGTGTTCAGCCAGTGCCTAAAGAATCTCAAAGCATATTAATTTAGTGGAAGATAAGCATTTATCTGATATATATATGAAAAATCTCCAAGCACTAGTTTACATTTTAAATCTCCATTTCCTTATTAGTAAATATTAGTGTATTATACTTAAGATGGCAGTGATCTGAGTATAATCCTGCCTTCAAACGCATAGCAAACCACGGAGAGGAACGGCACCCCAGCTACATGAACAGGACATGCTGATTCTGTCTCCCATCGTCAACAAGAACAAGAAAAACTGAACACAACCACATTCCCAACTAATGAACTTCATGTATAGTTTCTAGGTCACTTGTATTTGCAGGTATTAGTTACTCAGTAAATGGTTTTTGAATTAGAAAGATTAATTTGCCTCTTTACGCCACATTCAAAAAGAACTCCAGTGACACCTCAATTAACCAAGGTAGTTAATAGACGAGGACTCACCCTTCAAGCCATGCCGAGAGCAAAGGCAAATATTTTGAGTCGCAGTGACCAACACTTAGCAGAATAAACACTTCTCTATGTATTCTGTTTGTTTCCATTTTCGGATATAGGAAATAGGTCCCTTTGGTAAAAATTAAAGAATTATAAGTAAAAAGACAAATGAATCTTGTTAAAATTTTGAGAACCTAATATAAAAGTATCCATTACAAATTTTGAACTATAGAAGTCAGATATTCATATGGATTTTTATCGTGTTCATGTAAAATTTTGTGGAGAGAGATTATTTACAACATTAGAAAACAATGCAGTTGCTGGAGAAATTTTTTACTGTTGCAAGATGAATCAGGTAATGCTTTGGCCAAGAGACAAATGCATTCTTAAGCGTTTGTCATGCAGAGCAAATAAAAGTTGACGAGCTGAAAGTAAATATCAAAAGTCAATGAAAATGATCCATCCTGCATATACAACTCAAATACTTTCAGGGAAATGAGAGTGTTACTATTTTTGCCAGATAATGGAAGTCTTATCCTAATAGGATAAAAGGGCAGCATGGCAGCCAGCCTTCTTGGATTCAGGGGATGGAGGCATCGAAGTGCTAACTCTCCATGGATTTCTGGAGGAAGTTGTATGGGGAACTGCAGTGCTGTAAGAGGGATGCTGTCTTTTCTGAAAAGGCTTTTTGCTTCTATCGTTCTAAAGGTAGAGGCTGCTTTGAGCAATACTTGCAGAAGTCTTATCACTAAACAGACTTCAAGTCCTTGTGTTAGATTTTAACCTTTGTGGTCCATTCATGGGCACACTAGTGGCTATTTTCAGCTTCTTTATCAAACATCCAGTAATAGACCAATTTTTACTGAGCAACTAGGCCATCACAACCCCCAACAGAAAGATAAAGACTTTATAGACTTCACCTTCAGGAAGCTCACCATCTTCTTAGAAAGATGACATACACACATCCATAAAGAGATGATAAATCCAGTTTCTAGGCAAGAAATCTTTTCCACATGAGAAACAGAGGAGCTCTCGGGAAAGGGAGAGCTTCCATTCTTCACAGCGAAGGAAACCATCAGCAAGACAAGGAGGCGAACTACTGGATGGGAGAAGGTGTTTGCAAACAACGTCTCTGATAAAGGGCTGATATCCAGATACATAAAGAATTCCTCCAACTCAACCACAAAAAATCAAACACTCCAATTAAAAAATGGGCAGACTTGAACAGACACTTCTCCTGAGAAGACATCCAAATGGCCACCAGTCATTTGAAAAGATGCTCAACTTCACAAGCTATTAGGGAAATGCAAATCAAAACCACAGTGAGATACCATCTCACATCTGTTAGAATGGCTATTATCAACAGGCTAAGTAACAACAATTGTTGGAGAGGTTTTGGAAGAAAAGGAACCTTCATACACAGCTGGTGGGAATGTAAATTGATAAAACCACCATGGAAAACAGTATGGAGGTTCTTCACAAAATTAAGACTAGAATTACCATATGACCCGGCAATCTCTCTTCTAGGTATATATCCAAAAATTTTGAAAACATTTATTCATAAAGATATATGTACCTCTATGTTCACTGCAGCATTAACAGTGGCCAAACAACTGAAGTGTCCTTCGATAGACAATTGCATAAAGAAGTGGTACACATATACAATGAAACATTACTCAGCCATAAAAGAGATGAAATACTGCTAGTTGCAACAACATGGGAGGATCTTGAGAGTATCATGCTGAGTGACATAAGTGAAACAGAAAAAGTCGAGAACCATAGGATTTCACTCGTATGTGGAATATAAAACTGAAAGCAACAAACAATAAGACAAACAAATAAACAGAAACTCATAGACACAGACAACAGTATAGTGGTTACCAGAGGAGGGGAGGTAGAGGGTAAAGGGGGTCAAATGTATGGTAACAGAAGGAGATTTGACGTTGGGTGGTGAATAGTGCAATATACAGATGATGTATTATAGAATTGTACAATTAAAACCTATATAATTTTACTTAACGATGTCAACATAATAAATTTAATTTTAAAAAAAGAAAAAGAGGCACTTTCTTCAGACAAGAGTGTCCAGGGCACTTTGCAATAGTGCAGGGTGAGTTGCCTCAAGGTGAATATTACGGGGGTAGGAGGATTCCAGGAGAAGAAAAGGAGGTCTGTGACCCAAGCATTAGCTCTTGCTATGAGATCTTCCCTGCCCTCCACACATGCCGGTGTGTGTGACGTAGGCTGTCTGAGGGGCACTGGCCGGGCAGCCGTCCACCCACTGCTTAGCCTGGCAAGGCTCTTGAGAGCAGGGCCTTTCTTTATCTTCTTGCCTCACGTATTCTTCTGCTAAAATTACAATCCACTCCAGTCAAAAGATGCTCACGGAGAGAAGCAAAGACCAAAGCCAAGATCAAATTTTTCTATCTATTCTCAACCTTCCTTTTTTATAAATTGATTTGCAAATAGACCTAACTTCAAAGATAACGTTATTGTCAGCCTTGGCTATTTATAGAGGCAGGGAATTATTTATGCTATTATTATTATTATTATTATTATTAAATTAATCTTATTTTTCTGTCTTTCCAATAGCATCTGGACAATCTTTCAGTTCTTGTCTGGTGATAATGAAATCATTAAAAAATGTACCAGAACCCTTTTTTGCTTATCTCTGTGCCATTTGGAACATATGTGAATAAACTGAACACCACTTGCTCATTGGTTTTCTTTCTTTTCCCTCTTCTCATGTTTCTTAAAAACCCCATTTGAATTCAGTCACTAAAGAGCTAGGCATCTGAGTTAAGTATGATGCTGGGAGGTACGCCTCAGCTTTGTCCACATGGCCTTGATCTAGATAGCAAGCCACAATCTACCCCACACATTTTTTTGTGTGGCTTAATTGACCTAGTGTGTGCGGTCGTTCTTTGTTGAAGATTTTCTTTAGGTTCCAAGTTGATTTTAGAACAATAATACCCACCCTAGTTTGGGCATTTCACAAAGAGCTCGCCGACAACCACTGGGAACCTGACTATGCTATTGGGACTAGTACCTAAAACACCTTAGAGCCCTGACAGACATCAAAGATCTTTCTCTTTCTTGGAAATCACGTAGCCAGCCTTTTCCAGCCACGGAGCCGGAGTTGAGCAAGAAGAAAGCAATGCTGGCTCGTCCCGAGAGAGCCCTCCCCGGAAGAGACGGGAAAGAGGGCTCCAGGAGGAGCTTGCTCCAAAGCATAAAAGGTTCAGCCTCCAGCCTATCATTCAAAAAAGTTTTTAAAGCCTTTTTAAGGAGACAGTTTAAACCCAGCTGCACTTATCGATCAGTGATTTGATTCTGCTTTGTTAGGAGGGATTTGTAATCTGCTTTAAATGTTTTTTGTTCCTGGCCTTCACGGATAGCAAGTTCTGCCTGAGGCTGCTTCTCAAAACTCTCACTGAAGCTTTCAAGCATACGTGAATAACTAGAATAATTTTAATCTGGATCCCCCCCACAACCCTTTTTCCTCTGTGCGCAGAAGGAAATGTTAGGCATTGTAGGAATTTTTCATCAAATTCTGCCCAACCTAAAACTTTTTAAAAATGAGTCATTTGTCTTTAAAAGAGAGAGCAAGGCAGCAAATTCTATTTACAAAGTCAGAGTCAAGTATATTTCATTTTCTCAAGTACGTTCAGTTTATCTCAAAAAGTATATAGCTCCTCAAGCCTTGTGTCTGCTGCCATTTAAAAAATAAATTCCAAAACATATCCTAACCAGAGCAGAACATACTATTTTTGCAATAAATAGCTTTTTAGAAACTTTCATTATTTACAGCTTTTAAAAGTTGTCATTGTGCCTTTAAATGGCACCATTAACTGTTAATTTTTACGTTCTCAAAAATACCACAAAATAGTGGTTTTTCTGTTATTAGAACATAAACTAAAGAACAGAAACATGTGCTTACACATATATGACCTTCATGAATTTATTTAGCAGAAAACCGAATATGTGAGGAAAACGGACTTTTCAAGTGGCGCCTTAATTGTCTTTCATGCATGTTCTACAGATCATTACTGAATGTTTACAGGTCCTGCATGGAATGGCTTTACACCAAAGAAGAGGGTAACATATCTTTATTGTTTATAAAAATGACAGCTCCTAATGGACCATATTAGCTTTAACACAAACTATTAAATCCCCTTCATTAAATTTGTCTGTGTTCTGTTTCAGCATCTCGTTAGCTCTGGGAAGTAGGTGCAAACGGCGAAGGAAACGTGAGCACACATTGAGACGATTACAGATCATGGTTATTAGATAAGCCTCGGGAGGATGTTTTTCTTGGGCTGCTCACAAGCATTTTGAAAGAGTTGTGTTCCAGGTTTGAGGTCCCCTGTTTCTTCCTCTTAAACTATGAGCAGCTGTAGCACATGACCTACTTCTGTAGGGCCCTGTAATGATTTCCTTCCTTCGGAGGCTTCAGGAGTCCTCCTTCTGCCCTGTGAAAAAAAGGGACAAATATTTTAATCCAAGCAAAATGCTGAAGCAGGTTTTGTTGGTTTCAGGGAAGAAACTCAATACAGCTCCAGCACTGAGTGTAGGCCTCAAATTGGAACCATCTGGGCTGCACAAGGGCTCAGAGACCTTTGGGGAAGGCAAGGAGAGTCTTGCCTAGGGCTGCAGCCCATACACCTGCGGAGATGGCCCATGTCTTGGCAGGCTGGCTGGATCACCCAAGAATGGGAAGCTTGCACACAGCAGAGAAGCCCACACTCCCTTGGCACTGACAGTTTGGAATATCAAGTCAGCAAGGGTGACCACTAACTGCTCAGGTGATGACTTATTAAGTAACTATTCCTTATATTTGACACACATCAGACAGAAACACACATTTCCTAACTGTCTTTTTGGCGGCTAAGGGGAGAATATCTTTGGAAAGCTATAAATTGGTACACATCATATTTTTAGAGCTATCCTTCAAGCCAGAAGGGGGAGGGAAAGGTGTTGCAAAAGTAATGCACATGCATCTGATATGCTCTATGTTCTTTTTATTTTTATTTATTTATTGTTGTTTACACACTGTTATTATTGTGGTTAGTTGTACTTTCCAACTCAATGAAAGCACTTTTTAAGTGTGCTCTAATATCTAAACATACAAGATTTAAGCCAGCTCCCAGGACCTTATTTTAAATGAAGTATTTTTTGAAAAGTTTGTATTACAAGCTCTCCATGGGTGAGAGATGAGAGTATCAACCCATTTTCAAACAAAAAGAAAAAGGTATCTTTGCTTAGCCAAAAAGCAGAAATCTTAATCGCTTAATTTTAAAACCAGTTCATAATATATTTTCTGGAAAGAAAATGGGACATGAAGAACAGATCAAAATGGTACACAAGCTGTCCATTTAATAAGTATATTTTCCAAATATTGGTCATGAGGAATGTGTCATTTTTAATCTGGGTTTTAAATAATTTAGAAGCATAATGGTTACAGTGTGGCCATTATCTAATCTTAAATAACATGACTAAGTATGACCTCCCGAGAATGGGAGCCCCGCAACGGCCTCAGCACTGAAGTCAGAGGGTGATATAGTGAGAAGAGGTAAGCCACTGAAAAAGCTGAAGATTCAGGGAAAATACAGGAGAGACTGTTGAAATGTTAAGTTCAGTTAAATTCTCAGAAGCGTAAGTCTATCTGGCTTCATCGAACTAATCTTTTTAAATAAACAAATAGACCTCCCTTTTTTGCTTATTGTGATTAGAATTATTGGCTGAATGAAATCGAACAGTCAAGATGTAGATAACACACGAGGTAAACACTTTTATATATTTTTAAAAATAGAAAATGTGAGCTCAGATACATTTTTTAATCTCTAAAGGGAAAACAACCATTTAAAAATCATATTTTAATAGCAAGTCTCGCAGAACACCCCTTGTTTTTACAAAGCTCTAAGACTATAAGGGATATATATGCTGAAAGTTTCCAAACACATTGTAAAGGGCGAGATGGCTGTGCCGTGTTCAGTTCTGAAGCGTTCTCACATGCACACTTCATCACGAGCCAACTGGAAGACTGTGGGAGGTTGTGTGTTGGCCTTCCTGTATTTTGCCCTGTTCCAAATTTATATGCATGAATCTAAATTTTAACCAAATCTTTGTTCTCTTCCCTCTTGAGGATGCTTCACGCTCCTGCCTACCCACCCAGCCGCACCCAGATAGAGCTTTGTCCCTCCCATCCGAACAGCCTGCACCGCTGTGCAGCCACAGGGTGAGACTTAATGGAGCCAAGCACACTTCCTATCAAGCTTCCTGTGGAAAGCCAGTCAGCTGAGACTGGGAAAGGCCTGCCACCACATGCCAGAAGCCCCTGTGGAAATCAGATGGGGAGCCCGGCATGGGGGCAGCCGGCCCTTTCAGGCTATTACTTTGATACCTTTGATATGGGCTTGGGTTTCTCTAGGAACACTGCCACTGTCTCATTCACGCAGCTCTGAGAGGATGGCCAGACCCCATGTCTGGGCCAAGCGGGCCGGGCAATTCCAGTGAGTGTGAATTTCTGAAAAGGCAATTTCAATGCCTAGACTCAGGAAATTAAGAAATTCTGTGGCGCGTCTTCATTAGTACGTTTAAATACAAGGTTCCATATCATCGACTTAGCCCTCAAATGAAAGCAACAATGATAACGATCACAAGGCAGCAAAGACAATGTTCTTGATTTTATTCGAAAAGCACCTTTCTCTACAAACAGGAACCAATTGATATAAATACATTATATATACATACAGACACATATATATTTGAGAGTAAAGCTCACCCTGTTCTCAGGAAAGGTGACATGGGAGTGGACACATTCAGACTGATTTATGAGCTAGGGAAGTACTTCTGATTTTTTTTTTTTTTTAAAAAATGGCCCAACTGGTCAGGAGGTGATGAAGACTGACTGCCCAGACCTTTGCTGCCAAATCTTAACTGCCTGAAAACTTACAGAAATGCTTGATTAAAACTAGAATAAAAATCTCCAGTTGCCTTCAGCAAACCACAGCGCAAGGGTGGGAAAAACAGTGCCAGGTTGCAGTTTAAGTATAGTTACTTGGCGCCTGCTGAAAGTTCTGCTCCCTTCCTGTTTAATAATTAATTCAACTTTAAAGCCCCAAGGATCTGGACTCAGCACCAACTTCACAAAGCCGTACAGAAACAAAATGCTTCCAGAACTGAAGGGGGGACACAGGAAGAAAGAATCTAACATTTCAAGAAACATCACCACATGGGGCCGGTGAGCAGGGGGTGGGGTTTGGAGGTGGAAAGAACCAGGGTAGAGAAATTCAAAATAAAATAAATACACACAGGAGCGAGGTTATTCACGGCCACTGGCACCAGGACTGGGAGTGGCACAGTGAGCCAGAAGTCACCCACTTGGGAAGCAGGCCGGGTGCCCGCAGGCTAGTGGGGACCAAGAGGGTAATGGGCTCAGTCTCTGAAAAAAGAGAGACACAGCCTCGCTCTTCATTAGTGGCCTCTGCTCATCCGTCAGAGAATGGCTCTGGAAAAGACATCAAAGATAGGCCATCACCCCTGCCTGTGCCCCGCCTCAACCTCTACCCCACCCTAGTCCCATGATTCTCCTACCAGGGGATGGCCGGGAATGTGCTGATGAAGGGCAGCCATGAAGGGAAACGTAGACACGCACACACATACATGCAAATGCGCACACATGCACACACAGCGGAAGGAAGAGAGGAAAGGTTCATTGAGTGATAGCTGTTCTGTGCATTAAGAACAACACGGAAAACCAAGCAAGTTACTAGACTTAAATATTTAGTCACAGAAGTTAACTACCAAACACAGAGGCAGGTCACTGCAAAAAGGAACCAAATAAACATCCAGCGGGGTACCTTGCATTGTGCTTTGTGATTTTTATGAATTGTTTGCTTTCTCTAAACCGGTGAATCCAGCACGGGAAGTAATACACCGTGGACGCTCACAACAGGCAGAAGCCACTGACAGCTCAAGTCCCTTATCACACACTGGTAGGAGGAAGAATGTTTCTAGAATGACTGCACACAGAGCCACTTCAAACCATACAATCCAGCATCAAACCACATGAGCCATTCTTTTGTACACCAGGAAATCTAAGTACCCCAAAGCATTGCAGAGAGGTGGTATGCTCTAGCAACGAACAGATTAATTAAGCAAAATGAAGGCTCGGGTGGCCCAAGAAAAGAGGAACGCTTACTTAAACACCGAATCGTATTTACTTTTTGCTTATTATTACTATAAAAAAGACATGGCATAGAACACTCACGCATATCCTCTGAGAGTATAGTAGGGCAGTTTGAAGAAGACATGTAATTAAATGGTTGAGTCGAAGAAATACTGACCTGAATATTTTTCTTAATCCCTGAAATGTGATATTTTTAATACTCTACAATTATCAAAATTATATGGATTTCTTTATATTTTGCTTATACATGAATTACTTATAAAATATTTAAATTATATCTCCTTTATATCTGTTTCCTCCCACATCAGCCTGATGGTATTGCCTTGAAAATGCAGCAGGTGACTTAAAACGAAACCTTGTATTCCTCTTGACCCACCTCTCAAAACTGTGCCAAAAGCAAAGTTGAAACTAGTTTCCAGTTATTCAACAATTTCAAAGGTCGATGTGTTTTCTTTATTTGTGAGTCAGTGAATATCTAGCTGCTGTTTTTTATTTGTTTTAATTTCAAGTTCAGATTCAAGCCGATGCCCCTGCTTCCTTGTGAAGCTCATAGTGGTTTGGATCAGCGAGGGTCCTGGCCTCGAGCAACTTATCTGACCTGGCTGGGCGTCGGTGTCTTGACCTCTACAACGGGGACAATCACTGTTCTTACATCGCCAGGTTGTGATGAGGTGTAATGCACGTGGGACGCTGAGCGCAGAGTTCGCTGCACACAACACTCCCTCGGATCAGAGAGCAGTGACGCCTGCAACACCCCAAGCCCATTCTCTGGGATGTGACTACGTAGCCAGCTTGGTGTGTTCTGAATCCTTGTGTGTGCGTTCACTTTACAAAACTGGCGAGTCTTAAAGAGTTGTAATTTGAAATTCTGTAAAGTCAGTCATTCTGCAAGACACAGGGCTTCTTATTTAAAGCAACCGCCACAGTCATCCGTTCTTAGAGTAGCAACATCCTTGTGGTGAGAATAATTATCTACCAGCTTGTCTTTTTTTTTTTATTATTTAAATAATAAGCCCAGATATTTGTATGAGGCAGTGTGTTACAGTAGGAAGTACACTAGACCATGAGACAGGCCAGCCTCTCTGCTGGTCCAGTCAGCAGCTGGACAAACTCGGGCAAGTTACAAGCTCCGGACCGCCTGCGGAGGAAGGCGCCACTCTCGGCTTCTCAGGCACTAGGATTCGCTGTACAGAGTGAGCCCGAGCGCACTGTGGAGAACCCCGTTTACGGCGGCAGAAGGGACTCACATCTACACCCACAGCCCACATAGAATTGGTCTAAGCTGAGATGAGTGCTGTACCAGAGCCAGGAATTACATGGGCCAGAGGATTTATAAGGCCCATCCAGCCCCATAATTTTGTGATTTCATGTGAATCAAGGATTTACCAACAACTAGGCTAGTGTTCAGTTACCCACCCTACTCACCAAATGTTGACTCTGCTGTGTTCACTCCTGTCCAGCCTGGCCTTTTTAATGCAATCTACAGGGGAATTGGTGGTGTTAGGTAATTTGGAAGGTTCCACCAGTGGATATGCAGGTGCCATAAATAATAAAGAAAAAAGGGATAGAAAGGGAAGAAGGAAGGAAGGAAGGCAAGAAGGAAGGAAGGAAGGAAGGAAGGAAGGAAGGAAGGAAGGAAGGAAGGAAGGAAGGAAGGGAGGAAAGAAAAAGATGATGCCCCGGCTAAAAGAGTGGACATTCAGCTTGATTCTGTTTCCCAAGAGCAAGTGTATTCTATTCAAAATTTACCCACATGAGTTTAAAATATTTTGTCAGAAATTCGTGGGTAAAAGAGAGGACCTAAAGAAAATGCTACGACCTCTTTTCTACCAATCTCCCTTTTTGCGACCCTCCCTCCCCGTGGTTTGCGAGATGGCCTATTTTGTGTTGAGGCTGAGTGTGGGCCCTGGAGTCTGACAGGGCAGGATTAGTCATCTCAGTTCTCTCTTCTGGAAAGTGCGGGTAACAACTTCAGACAGTTGCCTCGATGGTTTACATACATTCGTTGACATATGGAAATATCCCGAAGAAAACACAGCACCTACCAAATCCTCAGTTGGTGACAGCCATTTTTATTAAGCTAGAAGTGGCATTTAAGCATATAACCAAGGAACCTGTGATTAGTACTAAATAACAAGTATTAGCAAGCTGATATATTTTAGCCTCTATATTAGTTTTCTAGGGCTGATAGGACAAATTACTACAGACTGGGTGGCTTGAATAACAGAAGTTTACTTCCTCACAAATCCAGAGGCTGTAAGTCTGAGATCAAGGTGTCAGAAGGGTTGGTTTCTTCTGAGGCCGCCGTTCTTGCCTTGTAGAAGGCCGTGTCCTCACAGGGTCCTCCCTCTGTGTGTGTGTCTGTGTCTCGATCTCCTCTTAAAAGGACACCGGTCATATTGGATTTAGGTACACCCATTTGACCTCATTTTAATTTAAGTACCTTTTTAAAGACCCGATCTCTAAATATAGTCACCTTCTGAAGCATCAAGGGTCAGAAATATAACACATGAATTTGGGGTTGGGGGAACTCAATTCAGCACATAACAGCCTCCATACTAATAAAAGCATCGTTTACATTCAATTAAAAAACAGATATACAAATGAAAGAACTCTTGATACACCACTCCTAAAACAAAGCCATGTGGGCTCTCTTACTGTTTTTCTTGTAAAGAATAGACCCCCAGTGGGTAGATACATTACAATCAAGCAAAGGGAGGAATTTGACACCACTAGTTGAATTGATAAGGGTAATAATAGACTAGTTGACTCAACTCACAAAGTTTTGCTAACATAAACCAACAGGAATCCTCTTGAACCAGGTATATCCAGGCCAGAAAGGAAGCTGGAAAATTGCCTTGGTCTTTGGCTGGCTCAGCCCACCACCCCCAGTCATCTATATGTCTTTCATAGAGAACTCTGTGACCTATCGATTCATGAAGAGACAGAAGAAATGTTTCATAAATGCAGTCTCACACTTTGTCTCCATAATTTTCAGTGACCAATGGATCTTTGGCTTGCCACTGTGCTCTCCTCTGGAGTTGGTCCCTTAAACACCTTATCCATCACTGCCTTTTTGTACCATGGCTGTGTCACCCTGTCTCAGCACCAGAGAAGTCTTGGCTCATTATTTAACTAATTTTTATTTTTAAATTTCTTCCCTTAATAAGTTTAGATGTCTATTCACATCTCTTTCCAAAAAAATTTTTTGGGGGGGCTCTTTTAGATTCTTGTTTGGGGATTTACTGAATATCCAAGTGCAAAGAAGGTATTTGAGCAGCATATGATTCTGTTAGATATTGGTTACCACGTTGCTTGAGCATGAAGCTTTCAAAGAAAATTAAAGTGAAAAAAAGTCAGATCTGGTATTGGTTATTAACTTCACCTCAGGGTGACTTTTCTTTAGGGGCAATTAAATAGCAGCTCTGGGCTGTTAAGTTTAGTGGCTTTACCTGTATGTGGCACCTCTTCTTCAAGGACAACCTCAGTTCAGATCTGCTCTGATTTTACGTGATGAAGCTGAGCCCATCCCTGGAAAACTGGATTTTACTTGAAATTGTAGGAGTGACCGTATATATGAGCTTCGACCTTACTTCTTTAAGAAACAGGTTTTGCATTACCAGGTAAATGCCCTTTCAGTAGAATTTTCATGGAACACTGGTGACATCCTGTGGTCAGTTTGGTTTAAGGCAGCCGGTCCTTTTCAGCAACTATCTCAGGAAATAAAGAAGTGTCCCACATAAATCCTAGTATGCTTTGCAAAGCCAAAGGGGAAAAAAAAAGAAAAAGAAAAAAAGAAAAACATTCTTATTCCTAATCATTTTTACAGAGTCAATACCTCCATTCTTGAGCTATGCAATTTCTCAACAAATGTGGAAAAAGCAAGTTCTGGTAAGGAGAACTGGTAAGCAAGTTTTGGTAAGAACAGATGTTTCGTGGAAACAAAAGACAGCTTCATCAAAACCAGGGATGAGTGTCATGATATCATTCATCACTCTGTGATCATACCTGGTTTTTACCATCTGCTGTTGTAAGTTCCCTGTACCTTGGCTCAGTGTCTACTCTTCACAGGAGAAACAGCCTTCTGCAAAAGAGCACACAGCATGGCTTAAAGGGAAAACAGTGGGTGTTTTGCATTTTTACACCAGTGACGATAAATTGAAGCCATTTAGTTGTAAATGTGATATTACACTTGACGGTTTCCCCTGGCAAAGCACTAAGTGGCCCACACTGAACAGAGCCAAAGAGATGGAACTGTGTGTGTATGTGTGTGTGTCGGGGGGGGGTGGGGCGGGGAGCAAAATCAGTCACCAGCGTAACCGACCACAGGGGCTCGTAAAAGCATTTGTCAGTCGTTTGGAATCATAACTCAGCTCGGCACTCATGGTACCAGGAGCGACTGGCTCGGTGAAAGCTGAGGAGAGCAGGCAATGGAGTTTATGTTATTCTTCTGTTTATTAAAAACGGATGGGAGCACTTGACAGAAAAATCAAACTTCTGGTCATGCCTCATTAACCCCGGTTGTATCTGTCAGGGATTTGTGTGTGTGGTGTTCCAAAGAGCCTCTAGAAGTAAGATCACTGCTGAGCTTTGGTGTTTTCTCTCATTTTGGATGGAAAAAGAGATGCCAATCACCTCCAAGGGGAGAGAATAGGAAGTTATTTTTAACCCACCTACTTGGAGGACATTAAATGTGAGTTGGTTTAAGACAAAAATGATTTGGTGAAGAATTTTATTGCCAATATTTCTCATAGGGTTTTCTTTGGAAGAGGCAGAAAGGTAAAGATGAGTGTGGAATAAAGTTTAATATTTCAGCTCTTTTATGAAAAGCACAGCTCTTGGAGATAGATCCTTGGGGAACTTTGCAGGCTCCTTATATCTGCATATGGTCATTGAAGTATAGCCCTCTATTGAATAATTTGCTGGGATCAACCTGCTCCCCTGAGATGGAGATAAGACCCAGAAGAAAGAACCAACAGAATTCCAGCCCCTCTATTGGAAAAAACGATCCTGTAAGCAAATGCATGTTCAAAGCCTTCGCTCTGTGCCTGACACATCCTTACAGTTGGGAAAGACCACGGGACCAGTAGAAACGCTGTTTTTACTGCTGATTTGGAGCTTGGGCTCTGAAGTCACGTTTCTGAATCTCCCAGAGGCTCAGCTTCCTTGTACGTAAAAGGTGTGTGAGGACAATTATTTAGTATCTGCCCCAAAGGATTTCATAAGAATTAGATGAGATAAGGCAAGTAAATCACTTAAACACAGAACCTGGCCCATAGGAAGCACACAGTAAAAGTTGTTCTGAAATTATTATTAGTGACACCACCATCATCATTGATATGGACAGCATTGTTTGTCTAAGTTATGCTCTCTCCATGCTGCATTCTCAAATGACATGCCAGGAGCATATGAAATAGAGTAGGGTGAGGTCGGAGAAAAGTCCTGCGGGGTCATCTTAGTCTACCGGTTGGGGCGATTATTAAACTAATAATTTTGAATTCTATTCTGGCCTAAACGCTGTGAATGATACAGAGAAGTTTTAAATGGAGTTTCCTCATTCAGTAAACTTAAATCTAATCCATGTTCTTAGATGCAGGAAGTTTTCTGTGTAGGAAACCTTAAGTCAATAGCTTTAAAGCAAGGTAGGCGAATCCCCTGAAGTGATACCAGGGCTGGGTGGAGTGAGAATTCAGGAGGGACTGGAGATCGGACTTGGCCCCTGCTACACACTTGGGTTTACCCCGAGGAGCTAAACTGGAACCATGCCTTCGAGGGTCCTCAGTAGGACCCAGCACCTCTTGTGTATTCCTGTTTTGTTTTATTTTTTAATTCAATTTTTGTTTAGAGACATATACAGTGGATTCCTTTCTTTGCCTAATATTCTCTGTCCATGGATAATTGAAACTGAATCGCCTGAGCATAGAGCAAGTCTGAGATAGAGTAGACCCCCTTATCCACAGGGGATATGTCCCGAGACCCCCAGTGGATGACTAAAGCCTCAGATAGTACTGAATCCTACACATACTATGTTTGTTTCCTGTACATACACACCTTTTCACTTAAAGGAAACAGTTGATGGCCTCTCTTTAGCATAGCCTAATGCCAGTATCACTGCTCTGGCACTTTGGGGCCATTATCAAGTAAAACAAGGGCGACTTGAACACAAACAGTGCGGCACCATGACAGTTGATCTAATAACCGAGTCAGCTACTGAGTAACTAATGGGCAGGGGTATATACAGTGTGGAGATGCTGGACGAAGTGATGATTCACGTACCGAACAGATTTCATCACACTCCTGACAATGGCACACAATTGAAAACTTATGAATTGTTTAGTTTGAGAATTTTCCATTTAATATTTTTGGACTGCAGTTATTCACAGATAACCAAAACCCTGTCAAGCAAAACCACAGATAAGGCGGAGGTGGGGGAGGGCGCTACTCTAGAATTTAGAAGCTTTGATAACTTTTAGCATTATGGCCCTTTCTTCATCTACGTAAGCTCTAAGTAAATCCTTCTAAAAATAGCTACTGAACACCTAAGGTGGTGAATACAATAAACTATATGCCATATCTGGCAGGAGAGACCCATGGCTTTCCATCAGAGAACCTACATCCCAGGCAGAAAGGAGCTTCATGTACACAAAAGAATATGACATAAGACAGTAAATGTTAGTGACATCTGTGAAGAGCCAGCAAAACAGGACAGAGTTCAGAGCAGAGAGGGAAGATGTCTCTTGAAAGCCATCAAGAAGCTTCTGAATGGGGAGATTTTGTCTTAATGGGGTCTTAGAAGGTGCCAGTTAGGATCTGGACAAGTCTGACTGAGGACTCGAAACGATGATCCAAGTAGAGGAACTAGCAGAGCGGAGGCCTGATGCCAAGATTTCATGGTGTCTATACAAGAAGAATATTAGGAAAACTACAAGGTGTCCACTAGAAATCTGTGCTTGGTAAAGGCAAGCAAAAATATTACAAGGAATGTGTTGCATGGGAAACTTAATCCTGCTAATCTTTTCGGAAACAGTTCATTCCACCAAAAGAGGTAAATCAAGATTTGGGAATCTAATTAACCCTGGTTTTTATTTACGTTATGACTCAAACCCGTTTACTGCTCCCTTGCTCACTCGGCCAGAGCACACACATCTAAGGACAGTGGACAGCAGCGTCATAAAGGAGCATCGCGGCTGAGTCGTATTTTCAATTTTTATTAGCATTTCTTATTTGCCCACAGCCTGATTTCTTTTAGGCTTGACATAATCTGTATGATTGAGTTAATCCAAGTGTGAAATACAGTAGGGACCCAATTCAATGGGTGGCCGGAAAGGCAGCATTATTAGGACATAAAAGAGATGCAGCAGGGCACTGCCTCCCAACTGCAGGTGCAAATAGACTATAATAGGACTCTCAAACTGATCCGCAAAATGGAGACCACTCCAGGGGAATAAACTGTGTGCACTCAGCATCTGACATGCATTTTACAAGACCTGTCTTCACAAAATATCTTTACAGGCTAGGTGTGATATTTGGGGTGGGCAGATACTCTCCATGTGGCATCAAAAGCTCTCAGCCTAACTCCTCTCACACCCCTTATAAAAGGAGCATTTTCGACATTTTATTTATTTTTAACCTTTTATTTAAAAATAATTTTGGATTTACAGAAAGGTATTACAGAGAGCCCCCATATTCCCTTCACCTACATTCCCCTTGTGTTCACAACTTATGTTACTTCAGCACATTTGTCAAAACTAAGAAATTAAAATTAACATAGTCCTATTAACTAAACTATAGATTTCATTCAGACTTCCCCAGTTTTTCCATTAATATTACTTTATTCATTTTGAAAGAGAAATATCACCCCTCCTCATTTGGGTAGTTATTGTTAATCAACAGAGAAAGTCTCTTGATTCTATTTTCAACCTGATGGCTCTGCTTGACCTTTGGGCTGATCAGGTGCAAAGCACACTTCCCACAATGCCGAGCAAAGCTTTGGAACCCCGACGTGCACTTTCATCCCTCCCAGACTCTCAGCCCTTCCCAGAGCATTGAGAAGCCAGGGAGCCAGCTCCAAGGAGCAGCTGTTAATCCAACAGCAAGCAGAGATCTTCAGACCCAAGAGAAAATCTGGAAGGGCTAGCACAAGGAACTTGAAGGAATATCATTCTATGGAAATCTTACCAACCAGCGGTTCTATAGATCTATAGATTTATAGATTTTAATCTAAAAGTTTAAATCAAGATATAAATGACATGGGATGTTTCATTCACTTTAACAATTTAAGAAAAAGCGTACTTTGCTGTTGAATTAATTTTATAATGATATATTGTCTCATCCTTGGAGACTGAATGTATATTAAAATACCAGTTGAGATTTAACCACACAGTACTTTATCAAGTGTACTAAAAATCCATATCATGGCCCAATATTTAGAAATCTTGTATATTACCATTTAAAAATTAAATGGCTCATTTTTATAATTTTTGCTTTTTTTTTTCTCAATAACAAGATGAGGGAGAACATGTCACACGGATATCTGTAAAAACATTGTAAATAACGCACTGAGTGTATAAATAGTTTTAGATTTTTATTTTCTAGTCAATTAAAAACCAAACTGGAGATAGTTTTATCTAACATTGAATTTTTGAGTACTAGTGACATGGTTGTGTGCAACATAAGACATTCAGGAGATCGATGCAGATAATCTTAAGAGGTATTTGCAGACTCAGTATTATTTTATGCTTCTTATTAATAACTCTTTTGCAACATCAACATTCTTTATGTTTCTCTTTCTAGCTAAATTGCCAAATATAAGTTTAAACTGTGCAACATGTGACTAAGAAAAAAAGTCAGTTTAACCCTGCAAGGTCGTGAAAACCAGTCTGGAGTGAGCTGTGTTCAGGTAGGCGACAAATCAGCTGTCATTAGCATGCCCATACAACCCAGAGTTATCCCCAGGCATGCTCGCTTCGTACCTGTGAGAAGACTCACAAATCATTTAAACAGAAAAATATCCTTAGTTCTTTTATCTGTTAAATCCATTGAACAACATGATGCCCTGGGACACTTGCACATATGTCAAGTCACAGGTG